GATATTACACGCTTACATAGAAGATCCAGAATTACTGACCAAACAAACACTGTTTGTCTTCAGAAGATAGAATTGATATCAGTATAGTTTTGTGCAGCTTTTCTACCAGGTTCTTGAATGAGCTCCAGCTCTATTCTGGATTTTTGAAGCCATTTGGTAAAGAGGTTAAGGTCAGTATTACTTTACTAATTAGTTACTACTTTCATGGGGGAAAATACTTTGTGAGCCTTATTTTTTTAATGTTACAACTGGCAAAGGGCAAGAAATAACCAATCTAGTCCAAATACTAATCACTCCACTGACGTCCACACACCTGCAGAAACACTGGTGGTGAGATAAGAGTTGTAAGGTTGCACACCCTGACGGTGCACACCCTGGACCGGGTGCCTAACAGTGGGGTTGTTTGTGCCCAGGTCACTGATCACAGGGGACCTTCAACTGTGTCCACAGATTACTTACTGACAGGTGTGGAGGAGGTGAAACCATCTACATTCTTTCGATGCCTGAGCAGTGTTTAGTCTACTTCTGGTTTCACATTAACAAACATACAAACACATTTACAGTGAAACTGTATAATGTTGCCACATTAATCAGGCACTGGAACATAACTGCTTTCTTTTGGGGTGGAAATTTGAGATTGATTGCTTCTAACCATCCCCATGTCGGTTTCTCAAGTTAAATGTTTGATCAGAAAATGTTAATCAGCTCATTATCATATAAAACACCAGAAATCAGAAAAGAACAAACGCTGATGTCGTTTCCAGCTCTTTGATTATTAAAACTGAACCAGGCGCCGTTCTGTCATTTAAACAACTAATCAATAAAACCAAAATCCACCCTCAAAGAGTGAAAATATGCAGGTTCAATGCCAGAGGCGCGCCAGGTTTCAGTGGAGTTCAACAGAAACCAGTGCTCACATTACTCGAACAGATCGCACTTAAACTAATAAAACCCGCAGTGTGACGTGGGAACAGGTTCAGCCTGTGTAGTAAAGCTAATCCAGAAATCCTTCTGCACATTGTGCATATCAGTACGTTCATAATTCAGATATAAATCAATCATATTTATGTTTTTTAAAACCTGTTCCTGGTGTGACGTCACTGAGAGGTTACCATAACAGGTGTTGGACTTACCCGTCTGGGACGGAACTTTTGTCCTGAATCCAGGGAATCCATTAGTCCCTTTGACTTTTCTTTTCTTTCGTTTTTTTCCCCTCTTTTGTCGCTTATCGATTTTTGTCCAACACTAAAATCGCAGCGCGGTCATGGCGGCGACAGGTGAGCAGCGGCAGGTGTCTCTCTCTCTCTCCCTCTCTCTCTCTCGCTCTCTCTTCCCAGCTGAGCAGAAACGTAAACAGCTGTCTTCTTCTTCTTCTTCTCCTTCTTCTTCTTCTTCTTTGGATTTTTGTCTTTTTCTGACAGGTTAGTTAAAGATGCTGTAGCCTGGCCAGAGTCGGTGGTGTTTCTGGGTCGGTGTCAGAGCGGGTTCTACAGCGAGAATGAGGAAACAGGGCAGGGCGGAGATCAATGGGGGGGCCAGAGAGGAGGAGACTGTGTGCTGCGGGTGGAGCACACACCTGTTACTTCATCTACAGACTTCCCATCAGCCGCGGCTAAACTCATCAGCGTATGCACCTCGTATCTGGCTTCATTGCAGTTTTGACATAGTATTTATTTTATTTTATTCTATTCTATTCTATTGTTTTAGTTATGTCATGCTGCTCTTAACTTTGTGCCGTCCGCTTTCTGCCGTGACCAAGCACATTTCACAGTTGTGGGACTAATAAAGGTTTATCTTATCTTATCTTTTATACAGTGTGTACAGTGTACCGTATTTATACAGCGCTAAAACAGCAATGCACTTTATTCTGCAGTATTCAACAGATCCTGCGTTATTATGATATTACATTAAATGCAATCCAATAATCAGATGATCTCCCATGTGCACGCAGCATTTCACTTCAAAATGAGGTATTAAAAGCCAACCAGTTGTATGTACAGCAAGTAAAATGTTGTAATATGAATAAGGAACACTAGAGGTCAGTGTTTATTCAGGTCATGTCCCTGATACTGTCACACAAATGATCACGTCAAGAAAGCATTTTGGTCCTTTTCATTTATTCTGTCGCAGCCATTGTACAATGAACACATCTGGTGTGTGTCCCGTTTGCCTCCAGATGATTAAACCTGATTACTTTAAAGTTGTTAGCGGGACAGTACTGCAGCTGGTAGAGTCTAAGCTACTCCTGATGGAAACTGCATCACAATAAAAATAAAAACAAAACAACAAAAAAAAAACATATTTGATTCAAAACCAAAAGGAAAATCTGACATTTAAAATTAAATAAATCAAAAAATAGTTGCTGTTAAAGCTAAATTCATTTATTTGATCAATAAATGTAAAACATATTGTTGGGTTATTTATTCAGCCAATTATAAAAGGGACTAAATCATATTAATATACTGATGTAATAACCCTAAAGCAACCATTAATAAAAGTAATTCGGAGAAGTATTATTTTTAACTGTGATTTTAATGATTGTGTTATTTATAAATTGCCTCCTCCAGTACAGAGCCATCTGCAGGTGAAAATGTTGCTCTATTCCTCAGTTAATTAAGAGGCCAATTAAACTGCTAATATATTGAAATTATGCTCATTAATTATAAATCACTGTACTGATTATTCTATTTAAATTATGAAATAATTTTCATCATGTTTGTAAATGGAAACATTTTTCAAGCCGTTTTGAAAATGAAATATTGAATAATAATAATAATAATAATAATAATAATATTCACTGGGCATTTGTGGTTCCTATAGGCATCCTTCATTTATCAGATATGCAGAGTGGTCCACTGTGGGGACTCCTTGTGAAGGGAGCAGCTGAAAACATGCCAACACTCCCGATTTTTCCGGGAGAATCCCGAATTTCAGTGCCCCTCCCGAAAATCTCCCGGCGCCCGAATTTCTCCCCTTTTTCCACCCGAACAAGAAAAATTGAAAAACCATATCCCAGATTGGCCCAGCCAATTCCAGTTTCCAACAATGGCTACTACTACTGCAGCTACTTAGTTTTAATATTACTCTTATTAATCTTTCTGGGTCGCAAAATAAACTTTTATCACATTTTCAGGCGAGAATGTAGCTGTGCAAACTTCAAATATCTAAGCCGGGGAGAACAGCAAACTGCCGGCACATCGTTTCAAACCCCCGCGGTCTTTCTCTACTCACGTTAAACGTGATATATATAAGTCACTTAACTTACAAATGTTATTGTTTGGCCTTTTTCAGTGTTTTATTTGTTCGTGAGTAAATCGGTTTGGCTGAGATTAAAGTTATTAAACTAGATTAGATAAAACTTTATTAATCCCTCGGTGGGTTCCTCCGGGGTTTTTACACAGCTGAATAAACGTCAAATAGAAGTGTGAGATGGTCGAAAATTTACGCCAGCATCCGGTTATATTTTAGACAGCAAGGAGCAGACGGTGACGTAATTCTGAAGGCTAGACCGTCCAATTTCACAGTCGCTTATTTCCGGTCTACCTGGCTTTCAGAGGACACGGCCCACTTAGATCGCGAAGGCCGGGTCCTCAGGTGGACGCAGCCTCTGAATTTGGATACCCCGTTGTTGTGGCCCATAAATAAACATTGTAAAATTTAAGTGTTTTGTATATGTATACCCCCCCAACAGCCCTTTTGAATGTCTCCCTAATTCTGAGGTCTCAAGGTTAGCAAGTATGGCTGAAAATATCTTCTTCAGTGATATTAAAAAAGATTTTTACTCAAAGAGTGTAAAGACATTGATAAAGAATTACATGTTTCAAGTTCAGCCTACATCACCTGTGAAGTGCATAACTTGGAAAAAACCAGATCAAACCAGACAACAATCAACCACTTAATCAGAATCAGAATCAGAATCAGAATACTTTATTAATCCCTGGGGGAAATTATTTTTTGTTACAGTGCTCCATTTTAAACCAACATTAAGACAAGACAGACAATACACTAACTAAGAATAGTACAATAATAGCAAGGTGGCAAGAGTAGATCAATAACTAATGACTAAACAATATAAGAAGGCCATTATGAAGTCATTCTGTGATTAAAATCATGAGAATTACAATCAGATCAAATACAATGCTAATAAATCATCCATAGAAAACATAAAAATTTATTTTTTTATTTTTAAAAATAATAAAAATACAGCGACAATATTACCCAGAGAGGTGGAGATGTTTTGAATTCAGTTAGGTTAACACACATAAGCACCACATTTAGTTTATTTATATGAGATTAAATTGAGTAACTAGGATATATACTTTGAGCAAACTACAACTATGTTGCTGTTTTTCACATATTTTTAAAAGATACAGTACCGCACTATGTCTGCTCAGTCATGCTGCTTGAAAGAAATCTCCATCCCAGGTCATCCGTGGATCGGGTTTCCTCCGAGGCGTGGGCACCTATAAGCAGAGTTTTGTCTTTACCCTATAAGATTCAAAATTATTCAAAGTAACACTCAGGTATGCCGTTCAGCAGGTTAGTTACAGCGCCGGGAGTAGCTTGGGAGAACAAGGAAACACAGACTGCTTCAGGTTGCTTTCCCAAAATCAACTCAAAGGTTTATTCATCAGACAACAGTTTATATAGAGGAAAAAGGTTCGTGTGTCAGCAGATTCTCAGTTCAAACCGGTACAGACCAAATAAGGAAACGTCTTCCTGCCTTCTGAGCAAAGAAGTATCCTTTGTGTAGTTTATCAGTTCAGCTACAATTTATGATCATCCCAGCAAAATACACTCCTAGACATAGAATACAGAGTTCTTTCATTAGTGAATTCTGAAACAAACCACCTGGCCTTTAACAAGCTCTTTTCTAGGAGATAAAGAAGGGAGGATGGGAGTAAGGAAGTGATCTCTGTGGTGTTTTCAACCTTGAGGTACCATCCTGTGATTCTTACACATTAATTCTTGGGTCACAGAGAAAGAGAAAAACAACTAGTAAATGGGCCTTATTGAGTAACAGTTTTCCTGTATAATATCACTATAAAACAATATCCTGTAAATGCTACCATGGTATCAAAATATCACAACACTGCTCATGCACGAATTTCTAAGTGCTCCTAGTGGGAGTTGCAGCCTGCACAACACAACGCCCACTAGGAGCGTTCATGCCTGCATAAACTACCTTTTGCCTTTAAGTCCCATTTCTATGACTCATTTAAATCCTCTTCTAACTCTGTTGATGCCTCAGAGGTGTAAAATTGTCACTGTGCCTGTCGAGTTAGTCGTTAAAGATTTCTAATACCAAAACAATGTTTTGAGCTGTTGCAACCTGATAATAACTTTGGTCCTGCTTTTTCTAGAATTTGTGCATACTGGATTATTTATAGTTTATAAAACATTTGTTTGCAATTTTTACATCTGCAAAATCAAAGGCCAGCTGAGGTTAATATATTTAAATCTTATTAGAGATGCTGCCATTCAACTGAGCATCTTATCTTAATGTAACAGTTTAACTGTTAAAATACTGCATTTGATGCCTTGTAAATGTGCATGTCATCATTTTTGGTATTAGGGTCATTAAAAAAAAAGTTTAAAAAACGTCAACATCTGGTTCCATTTCCAGGAGGAATGTGTGTAATCCATAAGCTTCTACACTCCAGTCTTCTGTTTTATCCAGCTGCGGTATTTGGTAACCCGAGTGTAGACGCCGGGTGCGTATATGCGAGCGCAGCCTTTGCCCCAGCTCGTCACACCTGCCAGGAAAAAACGCCCGCGGGAGTTGGCGACAGACAGGGGCCCGCCGGAGTCACCCTGAGAGAGAGCAGAACATTACAATCAACTATTGCTGTGAAATATCTGCGACTGAGCTGCGTCCCAAGAAGCATCACATTACAAACAATTTTGAAATCCACTGTATTCTTAATATTCTGTTTTTTGATATTGTCAATGTGTTTATACAAAATGCTACTGTATTTAATCAGTGCTGAAGCAACAGTCACCCCAATGCACTTTATACTGTATTATTCAACAGATCTTACATTATTATAATAGTCAGCTTTATTTTTTACAATTATTACAGATGTTTTAAGGCTGCAAAACCCCTCACTACACACTTTATACACTTTTCTCAGACAGGAATAAACATTTTCACACTTTTCTCTCTTGTTTAAACTCTCAAAGTCCAAACCTTGGTAGAAACATAAGTCCAGTATTATAGAATGAAACCAAAGATCAAACGCTGTTTTCAGGTGCAGAACATGGGAACAGAGCAGCTGCGAGAGAATTCGAGAATTCAACATTAATGAATCAATGGTACGGAAGTGAAGGACGCAAGAATGAGTTGAGAGTTTGACTTATCTGACTGTTCTGTTTCACTTAATGTGCCTTATAATCCGGTGCGCCTTATGGTCCGAAAAATATGCTTCTACCTTCCTTTAGCATGTCCAGAAGTCCAACTTTTTGTGCAATGTTTAGCTTTTGGGTGCTACTACAGGTGCCT